TTGTTGCAATTCAATGTGCATTATAATAATTTGAAACAATAATTTTCACACACTTCCCTTCCTTTTAGAGGCAGAAAAAATGGAAGTTTTTTTTTTTTTTTATTGTGAGTCTCACCAAAAACATTTTTATATTTCTCCTTAATTTTCTTTTACCAAACACAACTATTTTTTCAATTTTCTCATACTTTTTCACTCATCCTTATCTTCTCTTCTACTTCCTCTTTTTCAAATATATTTTTAATAAATATTAAATAAAACTATTCAAAATTGAATATATGATTTTATAAGTAATATTAATTATTTCGTATTGAAAATTTATTTCGGGACATTTAAAATATTAAATAAAAATATTCTGAATTATTTTATAAGTAATATTAATTATTTCACAATGGACATTATATAGAAAAGTATAAATACCAATATTATTTTGATAAACCTGACAAATGTGGATCTGTGGCGCAATGGTAGCGCGTCTGACTCCAGATCAGAAGGTTGCGTGTTCGATTCACGTCAGGTTCAATTTTTCATTTGTTTTAATCATGTATTTAAATAATGTTCTGCTAATAAAAAATATTAAATATATTTATAATATAGTAAAATAAGTAATTTTTATTTTAATCCTTATAAATTTTTTATTTTTAATGTCTCTAAAATTACTATTTTTTTATATTTAAGATAAATAAATCAAATTTATTTTAAAAACTTATAATTTTTTTTAAATATATTACAAACTATATGATATCACTAATAGTCTTGACTTTTTAATTAAGAAATAAATAGTTAAAATTTATTACATAATATAATACTTTTAAATTTTAGAGAGTTCAAAAATAAATAAGAGACTAAAATTAAAACTTATTTATTTTACACTGATTAAAAATATTTAAATTATTCAAAAAAAATTACATCTTAATTATAGTAATATATTGATAGGCGAACAATTGATTTTCAATCAGACTTTAACCTTTGCTGTTTGCATTTACTACCTCCCATTTTAGTAATTTATTAGTAAGTTAGAATGATATTCGTACATTTGTATAGATTATTTTCATTTTTTTATGTATATTGAAAATATACTTATTTATAAAATTATTTTTTATATTGAGATAACATAATTAATGTTTTGAGTTTCTTTAAAAATACAAAAAGAATAGAAGTATTCAAGTGGTATTATATATATATATATATATATATATATATATATATATCATATTTTACTTAAAATATAAAAAAAATTTATATTTG